ATCTGCCAAAGTACATTATCAAGAAAGGAAAGAAAGACTTTATTTATGACATATTTAAAAAAAAGGTAACCCTGCTTCCCGAAAGATCTCCGTGTCTCTTCAATCTCTGCATATCAGATTCTGAGCTCTTTAATTATCTACTTTCCTTTTGTTTTATCTTTCATGATTTGATATAGACATTATGTAATTCATGAAATAAATATTAAAGTGAACCACAAACATACACCCATATAAACAGTGGGGGTATAGGAGGGAGAATTGAGAAATAATGAAAAATACATAATTTCCATAAATAGTATGTTAAGACATGTTGGTTAATGCTGTGTATCCATTTCTCCAATTAGTCCTGAGTCCATTGTTGTTATTTATAAGCGATAAAAAAACTTGTACTAATTTTTTCAAAGGTCATCAAAGGGGATTCTAGATTTGGAAAATTAGAAAAATGTAAATTGCAATTAGGTTACTACAAAAAAATTAAAATAACATTTTAAATTTTGCTTTCTCTATTAAAGAAAAAGAAAAAATAAACAGCTCTACAGCGACAAAGGCAAGGAAAGGTAAAGAAATAGAAAAGTAATAGGAATAAGTATATTTGTATAACAATATAAAAGGGCTAAATTCCTGAATCATGATAAAAATCAAGGATATTCACAAGTTGTTTGCAAAAGTACATAGTAAATATTCACCTGAGAAAAGTGAATAAAGTAATTTAGTCAACACATACCAAAGTAAAACAAAGAAATATCTATTTGCTTATATTAAAATTAAAAAAATACAATTTAATATAAAACATTATATGGGGTGTGGATATTCCTCCTATATTGATAAAATGTAAACCCACAAAAATATATAATAGATGTGAATCTCAATATTTTTATTTTGGACAGGAATGTGTCTTCATATTCTTAGTGAACCATTTATTTCTAGGTAACTTGCAACTCCTTCTATCACTCCACTGATCTTACCTTCACATCAGCTTCCTTATTTAGGACACCTGTTAGCATCCTTCAGCTCCTCAGCTGACTGAAGACTGGTACTGATGTAGCATTCCACCAAACTTTATAGTCTGGATATTTCTCCATTCTAATCAGTTTCTTCCAAATCCACATCTCACTTTTTCCCTTCATGTTCTCTTGAAGTTTATCTCCAATGCATCATCTATCTCCAGTGCATTCATCATTGTAACAAGTTTTAGAAGTTAAACAAGAATAATATTTATAAGTTTTAGACATTAAACAGGAATAATATTAATAATGATAATGATGATAATGTAGACCAAATTGATGAAGGTTGTAATGGAGGCAGTATAAAGGGATGAGATCAAACAGCAGAGATGAAGGCCTGTCTATGAAAGGAAAGAAAATATCTTTGGTTCTGAGACGATATACCTCAGAAAATTTTGCTTAATTTTTTTTTTTTGTGAGGAAGATTAGCCCTGAGCTAACATCTGTCACCAATCCTCCTCTTTTTGCTGAGGAAGACTGGCCCTAGGCTAATATCCATGCCCCTCTTCCTCCACTTTATATGGAATGCCACCACAGAATGGTCTGACAAGCGGTGCATCAGTGAGCCCCAGGGATCCAAACCCCCGGGCCATTGCAGCAGAGCACGCACACTTAACCACTAGGCAACCCAGCCAGCCCCGTAATTTTGCTTATTTTTTGATAGCTTCTGCCATAATTTTTTTCTCTCCTCTATTTTCTGCCTCCTTTACTTGCTGTTATAGGTGATTAATTTAATCACATACTAAGTTTGGACCTTAAAAGACTGAGTAATTTTTAAATAGATCTTTCTCTCATTCTAGATTGCAAACAACTTGTGGTGTAGTCCAACTTCTCTTGCACCCTAAGGTCTTGGAAATGGGTTCCATACACAAAGCATGCACAATAATATCCTTCAAGTTATTATTTGTAAAATCAGTTATTGATTTTAATTGTTTTATAATTTCAAGTTCTCTGATGCTTGAAAGCAAGAACTGTCTTGGTTCATTAATTATAGAGACTTGTAAAACTATGTTAGTTGGACTTGGTTATTTCTTAGGTTTCCTCATTCTCACATAAACAGTGTAGCCTTTTTGTAGGGTGTATTACTTCTGCATATCATTTAAGTTTTTCATTATACTTCAATACATATTGGTTGCATCTTCACAGTTTGACTGTAATGCGAAGTCCTAGGAGGTCATTCTCTAGCTTTCTGTAAAAAGACTACTGTGGCCTATGGTTGTACTTCTCCGAGATTCAATAGTTATCTAAAACATTTTTGGTGTCTGTAATGTGTATGCTCTCCTCCCCTTAACATACCCCGGGTTTTATTTAATTACATAGCCATGGGCACAACAAGCAAGAGAGTGTCTTTGAAAAGCACATCTGCTTTAAACAAGGAAAATGTCTTATTCTTGGTATTTTTTTCCCTAGCATTTTCTATCTCTAGGGTGGAATATCACCAATTTTAGAAGAGAACCCTAAAGAGAGAGCTTGCTTATGCATATGGTATTCAGTGTGACACTAGCAGGTGCAACATTGCTTTAAAGACTGCAGTTAGGCATTTTTAAAATGAATGTGAAAATGCTTAGGGAACTCCAATCCGTTTGATTTAAGCTAAAGGATAGTTTCCACTTGTGTTATTCTTCCATATTCAAACACTTTGTAACTGTATCTTTTTCCTTCCATTAATGATACAAAAATAGACCATTAATATCATAGTCTATATAAAGACACAATATCATTTACATCACTTTTGAAGAACATGAGACTGAGATATTTAAAAACTTTCTGGAAGCCTGCTTGCAGTCTACCTGTGATGGCTGGAATTCAAATCCCCTACACTGAACTCATAAAAATGTTGGCATAACAGCTCTGAAAAAAAGCAGGAAAGACTTTTTTTTGTTTTCTTTCCGCCTAGCTGAAGTTTTAAAGTATCAGTTAAAGTCCCAGTCTTGGTTTTCTTACTGTGCTAGTCTTGATTGATGCATTTTTTCTGTCAATCACTATACACTTCGTACTTATTATTTATAGGCAATCACTTTAGGAATCATTGGAAGTTTTGAGATTGATCAGATATTAACCTCAGCTCACTTTTATAATGTTAAAGGGCTTAACATTTCACGAAGAAAATCGTGTATCTTGATATACAGTTACAAACATGAAGTAGAAAGCAATGAGTGTCAAAGAAGCAATATAAAGTATTATGCGAGCTGAACAGGAAAATAGGCACACATTTATTTTAAAACTTTAGCATAACTGTTATGATCCTATGACTGTCATCCATTTGAGCAGAAAATTGTTATCTATTTTGTTTGCTAATTATATCATGTATATTAACCTTGAACATCAACTAAAAGGCAAGTGCTGGGAATCAGTGTCATGGATTGGGCCTGTAACTCTGTATATCTCCAGTGCTTACTTATATAGTGGTTATTATGTTGGTTAGACAGCGTGCTACATGATTTACTAATATTATTTTACTTAATCCTCTAAAATAACTCTAGAGGTAAGTAATAATATCTCACATTTACTGATCAGGAGGATCAGTTAGATAGTACAGTGCTGGAGTTCTTATGTAAGATGAATATGAATCACATCCAAGCTTTACCACTTAGCTCTGTGAAATGTGGCAAGTACTTAGACTGTCTATAACTCAGATCTTTCATCTGTAAATGGGGTATAACATATTTACTTATTTCATATTTGGGGAGGGGATTAGTTAATATACGGAAAGTGCCTAAAAGAGACCTGGCGTATGTCAAGCAGTATGTAAGGGTTTGCTGTTATTACAACAGCACAGATTGTCAATTGCAAAACCAGAACATCAACCCAGGTATACTTGGCTATTTCAATTATTTTGTGAGAAAGAGAATTTTTATTGAAGTACATAAAGGCTGATTATAAAACAAACATCCATGTTCCACCAGATAAAACAAGAAACATTTTGCCAAATGTTTTTTCTGTACTTGCTTACATGATCCTATAGTTTTTCCTCCTTCGATTTGTTAATGGTATGATTTTCCTTGATTGGTTTCTAATGTTGAGCAAATCTTGAATTCCTGAAATCCTGAGATTCAGCTCAATTTTATAAAAACATAGTATTATTTTTTCATATTGCTATACTCAATTTGTTGGTGTCTGTCTATCTGTTACTCCATGTAAATTAATTTTTCTTGATTCTCTGACTGATATCTACATCTTCTGCTTGTCTTTGTTATCCTGCAATTTCTCTGTGATGTGTCTAGGTGAGGATTTCTTCCTTCCTCCCTTCCTCCTTCACGCCCTTTCTCTCTCTCCCTCTCCTCCTTTCTCTCTTTTTTATCTTGCTTGGGATTCAGTGGAGTTCTTCAGCGTGTCAATTGGTGTCTTTCACAAGCTCTGCAGGCCTGTCAGAGGAGTGAATATGAGTTTACTTCTAATTCACCCTAACATGAGAGTCCTTTGGAGTTCCAACTTAATGGAGAAAGAGTTTCCTATTACTTTCCCTCAAGGTTTTTTTCACCCTTTTATATCTCTGATCATTAAATTTAAGATCTTAGTAGTATGAGTTGCAAATGCTTTCAAGGCAAAAGAGGCTACAGTGTTTTGTTTATCTTTCTAAATTTCTGACTTCACCTAGATGGTGGTTTAGTAATTTCTTACTATTACAGGTGCTCCTAAATACTTTTTGGAATGTTTAAAAATATTTTATCTACCATTTGTAGTTATTTTTATTAAGAGAATTTAGTGTTATATATTATCAGAAAAAGAAGTGACATTTAAACTAGTATTCTTAATTACTGTGCAGTGCAACCTTCAAACATTTATTGTGCACCAAATATACTTTCTCATCAATGAATTTTTAAATACCTATTATGTGCCAGGCACTTTTTTGGATATGTGCGATATATCAATGAACAGAAGCAATACCCCAATGCTCATGGAGTTTATATTCTAGCTTGCTTTCTATTTTTTAGAAACCAAATTCTCTAAGACAATACACCTAGGTAGGTAGGCTAATCTTCAGGGAAACACAATAACTATATTAAGTGCTACTTTGAAAACTGCAAATGAAAAACAGCTTTTCTACCTATTGTTAGTTTTTAATTTTCAGTTTTGTTTGAATATTAGTAGGCAATCTCATGAGGGGTCCAAGCTACTCTTTCTTGGTTAAATTAATTACATTGGTGAATTTAACTTGCTGCCTGCTTTTTACTTTCAAGCTGCTAAAATAATTTGATTAAATAGTTTAGACTTGCTTCCCTTTAAAATCTGATATTTTCCTACATCCAAGTTCTTCTGAACACATGCAGTATCTTTTTGTGCTGTCTCTTTCCTGGAGGTCTGCCAGGATACTTGCTCTTGAGTTATAATTAAATCTTTTACTTGTTCATTTGTTTTTACTTTCTCCACACCTATTTCTGCTTTTTAATAGTTCTTTCTCTCTGTCTTGTTTGTATTTTTTTTCTTTCCTTGCCAACAACATTTTAAAATGTTATTTGTTGTCGCTATTTGGTCAGGCCAGTGCTTTCTATTTGTCCTTGTTTCTTTTTTGCTACAATTGATTTTTAACTACCCAAAGATAAACTGTGACTTCCAACTGCTCTGTGGCTCTAGTTGCAATTCCTTCTTCGAAATGGCTGAGTGAGCAGGAGATGACTCAAATCATGAGCAGGAAGCAAATGATTTCTTCCCTCATGAATCTTTGACTCAGCATTTGGCAAAATCTCGAGATGTTGAGGTATCTCCAATTGCCTCATTCTTCTACTTTCCCTAGATTGTTCCGGCATTTATGATCAATCAGGACTTCATGGAAAGGCTCGTCTTTTTGTACAGCTCGTTGATATAAAACAAGTTGAAAAATCTGATAGTATGTTTTGGGTGATAGTTGAGATGCCAAAAGAGAAGAAAAATATCACTCAAGATCATTTTAATTTATCTTCTAACTTAAAGATTATCAGAGGACATATCATTTACAATAAATATTTTAAAACAATTATTTAGTAGAGAGTTGACTACTGTTTTTTATTACCCAAAGTAATATAGTACAAGGGAAATATAATTTGATCCAGAATCGGGTAGCCTCATGCTTCTTCTAGCATTTATGATCAATCAGAACTTTAAAGGAAGTCTCAGTTTTACTTTTACATGGTGGAATATTTTAGACAACTGATTTATATTATCAAGATCTTAGTTTGGCCATATGTGGAATGAAGGGTTTAAACTAAATGCCTTCTGTGATCCCTTAGAATGAATTTGTATATATATTTTACATATAGTAAAATTTACTGTCTCTTTCTTTGATATGCAGTCCTATGAATTTTACTACATTTATAAGTCCGCATGCCCACCATCATAATCAGGACATAGAATAGTTTTGTCGTCCAAAAAAAACTCATGCTACCCCTTTACTGATACACTCTCTGCCACCTCCAATCCCAGGCGATCACTGATCTGCTTTCCACCCCTATAGATTTGTCTTTTTGAGAATGTCACATAAATTGTCATACAGCATGAAAATTTTAAGATTGGTTTCTCTCACTCAGCGTAATGCCCTTGAGATTCATCCAAGTTGTTGTGTGTAACAATAGTATGTTCGCTTTTATGTTCGGAGTAGTATTTCATTGTCTGTGTATACCACAGTTTATTTATTCATTCACCTGCTAAAGGGTATTTGGGCTGTTTCAGTTGTGAGCAATTACAAATGGAAGTTTTTATAAACACATGCAGGATTTTTAAAAAAAATAAATTTTCATTTCTCTATGGTAGACGACCAGGAGAGAGCTACTGGGTCACAGAATAGCTGTATTTGTGACAACGTGGATGGACCTTGACGGTGTTAGGCTAAGCGAAATAAGTCAGAGGGAGAAAGTCAAATACCGAATGATCTCACTCATAAGTAGAAGATAACAACAACAACAAACAATCACATAGAGACAGAGATTGGCTTGGTGGTTACCAGAGGGGAAGAGAGGGCGGGGCGAAAAGGATGATTAGGCACATGTGTGTGGTGATGGATTGTAATTAGTATTTGGGTGGCGAACGTTAGGTAATCTATACAAAATTGAAATATAATGACGTACACCTGAAATCTATATATTATAAACCAATCTTGCCACAATTAAAAAAAAGAAAATAAATATTCACATTTGTACCTAAAAAAAAATTTACCTCTTAAAAAAAAAAAATGGAATGGTGAGTGGGGACATCCTTGCCTTGTACCTAACCTTAGTGGGAAAGCTTCAAGTTCCTTGCCATTAAGTATGACATTACCTGTAGTGTTTTTTGTAGACATTTCTTATTAAGTTGGGAAAATTCTCCTCTACTCCTACTTTATTGAGAGTTTTTATCATTAATGGGTTTTGGATTTTGTCAAGTACTTTTCCTTCATCTGTTGATATGATCATGTGATTTTTCTCTTTTGGCCAACTGATGTGATTGATTACATTAATTGATTTAGAATTAGCTTGCATTTTTTTTTTCTTTAACAGTTTCTTTTGCAGAGTAACATTTTGATGAAGTTTTCGTGTAAACTTCTTTCTGTGGATCATGATTTTTGTGTCGTAGCTAGAATTCTTTGGCTAACCCCAGGTCATGAAGATTTTCTCCTATGTTTTTTTCTAGAAGTTTCATAGTTTTATATTTAGATCTAGGACCTATTTTGAGTTTATTTTTAAATTAGTTTTGAGGCTTAAGTTGAAGTTCTTTTTAAATCTTATTTTGTTTTATTTCCATTTGGATGTCATTGCTTCAAAACAATTTTGAAAAGACTCTCCTTTTTCCCTTGCATTTTCATCTTTGTCAAATATTAATTGGTCATATTTGTGTTGATCTATTTCTGGACTCTGTATTCTGTTTTATTGATCTATGTATCCATTCCTTCACCAGTACCATATTGTCTTGATATGGTAGATTTATCATAAGTTTAAAAATTGGGTAATGTTTTTTCCTCCAACTTTATTTTTCTCTTTCATAATGCTACTAATTATTCTAGCTCCTTTGCCTCTTTTGAATGATAATAGTAAAAATTATATATTTATTTTATTTACTGAACTTGTTTCTACTTCGTGTTTTTCTCCATTTTATGTATTAAAGAAATCACCTTTATCTGTTGGGTTGAGTTTAAATGCCAAAAAAACAGTAGATTCTCACTATAAAAAAGCACAAATTTAAAAATTCTCACTATACTAGAGCTCAAAATGTTTTCAAATGAGGTTCTCTAATTTCTGTTAAGTTTATTCTACATAAGAATAATTTTTAGAAATTGCTATTAGCATTTAACTTTGGGCATTAGTCCAATTCTCAACCTCTGGGGATGTATGGATACATACGACGCAATTTTTAGACGTTATATTAAACTCTTATGCAATATTGACCATATTTTTTTTTCATTTCATTTCAGTTATCAGTCCCTGCTTTGTCTAAGTACCATTTTGTTTTGTTTTATTTTTTTAATTAAAAATTTTTTATTGAGATATATTTGATATATAACATCCTGTAAGTTTAAGGTGTACAACACATTAATTTGATACATTGACATTGCAATATTATTGCCATTGTAGCATTAGCTAACATGTCTATCATATCACATAATTACCATTTCTACTAGTTTTGAGAACAATTAAGATCTAGTCTCTTAGCAAGTTTAATGTTTAGTACAGTTTTGTTGTCCTTAATCACTGTATTATGTACTAGGGTTCCAAGACTTATTTATATACTAGTTGCAAGGATCTAGCCTTAAACAACATCTTTCCCATTCTCCCACCCCCCAGCCCCTGGTAACCACTATTTCACTCCTTGCTTTTACAGGTTTGTTTTTTTTCAGATTCCACCTATAAGAGATATCATACTGTATTTGACTTTCTCTGTCTGACTTATCTCACTTAGCATAATGTCCTCAAGGTCCGTCCATATTGTTGCAAATGGCAGAATTTTCCCATTTCTCATGGCTGAATAGTATTCCACTGTGTGTGGATATATATATGTATCACATCTTCTTTACTCATTCATCTGTTGACAGACACTTAAGTTGTTTCCACAAATTGGCTATTGTGAATAATGCTGCAATAAACATGGGAGTGCTTATAGCTCTTCAATAACCTGTTTTCATTTCCTTTGGCTACATACTCAGAAGTTGAATTGCTATATCATAAGGTATTTCTATTTTTAATTTTCTTAGAAACCTCCATATTGTTCTCCATGGCAGCTGAACCAGTTTACAATCCTACCAACAATACACAAGAGTTCCCTTTTCTCCACATCCTTGCCAACACTTGTTATCTCTTGTCTTTTTGATGATAGCCATTCTTACATGTGTGAGGTAATATCTCATTGTGGTTTTGATTTGCATTTCCCTGATGATTAGAGATGTTGAGCATCTTTTCATGTACTTGTTGGCCATTTGGGAAAATGTCTATTTAGTTCCCCTGCCAATTTTTTTTTTTTTTTTTGTGAGGATGATCAGCCCTTACATCCATGCTAATCCTCCTCTTGTTTTTTTGTTGAGGAAGACCGACTTCGAACCAACATCCAATGCCAATCCTCCTCCTTCTCTTTCCCCAAAGCCCTAGTAGACAGTTGTATGTCATAGTTGCACATCCTTCTAGTTGCTGTATGTGGGACCCGGCCTCAGCATGGCCGGAGAAGCAGTGCGTCAGTGCGCGCCCGGGATCCGAGCACGTGCACTTAACCGCTAAGGCACGGGGCCAGCCCCCCTGCCAATTTTTAATTGGATTTGATTGTTGGTTTTTCGTTATTGAGTTGTATGAATTATTTATAAATTTTGGATATTAATCCCTTATCTAATACATGGTTTGAAAATATTTTCTCCCCTCCTGTACATTGCTTTTATTTCATCGATTGTTTCTTTTGCAGTGCAGAAGATTTTAAATTTGATGTAGTCCAAATTGTTGATTTTTTTCTTTGGTTGTTTGTGCTTTTGGTGTTGTATCCAAAATATCATTGCCAAGACCAATGTTGGGGAACTTCTTCTCTCTGTTTTCTTCTAGGAGTTTTACAGTATAAAGTCTTATGTTTAAGTATTTGATCCATTTCAAGTTAATTTTTTTGACAGATATGAGACAGGGGTCCAATTTTATTTTTATGCATGTAATTATGCAGTTTTCCTGACACCGTTTGTTGGAGAGACTATCTTTTCTTCACTGGGTATTCCTGACTCCCTTATCAAATATTAGTTGACTGTATATGCAGGGGTTTAATTCTGGGCTCTCTATTCTGTCAGTCTTGACCATATTTTATTATTTATTCACACACATTTTTGAGCATTGTTATATGCTATTCACTATGATGAATAACAGAGTATCTGCTTTTGAAAACAATTTTAGTCTTTATTTTCTTTCCCAATATCATCTTGACTATGTCAACTTAGTCCCCAAAACGTGTGCCTGAAGGTTCTCACTGGATACTCTGATCAATTCTCAAATCTGTGAGAATGACTCTCCAATTTTGCTCTGTGATGTAATACCAACTTTCCTCCTAAATTCTAGTTTCACATTTCTGGATGTCGTCTCTGTTTGAATGTTTCAGGAGCTACTCAGTTCACTTTTTCTACATTAAAACTTCCAGTTCATCCAAATTATTGTGTTCCCCACCTTATCTTTCTCTGTGGTGCCACCATTCTCAAAGTCTCAAAACCTCAGCCATCTACTCCCTCTTTCATCCTCACTGTATTCCACAAATTGCCAAATATGGTACGCATATGCAACATGTGCAATGTCTCCATCATCTGTCTTCTCCTTTTATTTCTAGCATCACTGCACACTTTGGTTCAAGACTTGACTAAAACAAAAAACGCAGGATTTATGGTGGGAGCAAATTCCACAAATATCAAATTTCTTTCAATATTCACAATAAATGTCTGTGATAATTATAGAGTATTGACTGAAACATACACTGAAATTCACTTAGGGAAATACAGAAATCCAATGTTTATATGAGTAACAGGCTGTAGTGGAGTTTCTCTGTAAGAGATGCCTGGCCCATTACCTGTAAGGGAGCCAAGAAAGGATATTTAAATCACAGATGAATTTGGTTAAAGTTGAAATGCTGAACCAGGAAGGGGTCTATAGGATGCTTAGACCTACTGAGCATACCTTGGACACCTCAGGTATTTGTGATATGAAATTGGTGGTTGATGTGTTTTTATTGATTTAATTAATCTAGGGGATCTACATAATTTTTTTTTTCCAGGCTACCTTCCTGCTATCTGAAGTAAGATAAACGTGGTAGCTTGATTATTAACATGCAAGCAAATAATTGGATTGGAAATGGTCTATTACAAAGATAAAGCCAACTTAACAATCAGAATGTATACATGTATTTAAGCCTAAAAAATCTGTACAAAAATCACTTATTCAACAAACTTTTATCTAACACAATCTGAATGTAAGATACTATCCTAATTGTTGGTGATAAAGAAAGAAGACTTTGAATGTCAGGAATTTAAAATAAAATGCTGGAGAAAGTCAAATAGCCAGACGATTACTAGATAGTGTGATACTGTTCTCTCTGCATTAAATATTGAAGAGGGACCCCTAACCAAGAGTATTGGAGAAAGAAAAGCCTTTGAAACACAGGCATTACATCTTGGTTTGGACAAGTGAAGATTTTAACAGAGAAAGAAAATGGAAATGGCATCACAGGTAGAAGGAGAAGAGTAAAATCAGAGAGACTTCAGAGAGTACTGCATCATTTCCTCACAATGTGTACTATTTGGACCTTGAACAGATATGCTGTCTTTATCTGCCTCTTTTTGTCTATCTACATATCAATCTCTTGGTTACCCCAAGTAATAATTTGATATGGGAAATACACTACTCTTCTCTGGTCAACAATTTAGTCTATGCAGCCTTGGACAATGAGTAAAAGTTAACCATTGAATGGGAGGCAGAGTTATTCTGGGAAAAAGAAATAGCAATTGTAAATATCTAGAATTAAGAAAGGCAATGTCTTGCATCTTCAATAAACAGCAAATAAACTCTGAAGCACAGAGTATAAGGAAGAGAAGGGCAGAGATGCAAATGGAGAAATAAGTAGCCTATTGAAGTGTTTGGACAGGACACTGTCAAGCTTTTGCATTACCTTGAGGAGTTATATGACTAAATTTATGTTTTAGGAGAAAAAAGGATCATATGCATAAGGCCAGGAATGTGAGAGAACATGGCACTTCTGAAGAACTACAAAAATTATTCATTGTAGCTAGATTCTTTGAGTGCTTATAATATGGATGGAGGATGAGGCTGCAGCAGAAGGCAAAAGCCACCTGGTGAAGGGTCTCTGCTTGTTACGCTAATGGATTTGCAACCACTAAAGATTTTCAAGCAAGAGAAAGAGCTTTCTGAACATTGTTGAGCCACATTCACTATGAATGTATGGCTATTTCTTTATTGGTAATAAGTCATTCAATTACGCTGGCTGCTAACATCTGCTAGAATAAATCTGATTAACGTCTTTTTTTATGAATTATACTCATTGAAGAAATTCCATACAAATATCTTCACTCTTTTATTTTACAGGATTATATTAATCATAACACAGACTTGAATACAACTTTCTAACTTATACTTTCAAAGTAATCATTTAACTTAATACAAGGAAGTCGGTAAGATAAATACTTTAATACCATTTCACAGATGTAAAAACTGTGACAAATTTTAAATAACATGCTCATTATCACAAAGTTAGTATGTGATATTATTAAATCCAAACTGTGCCCCATGAATAGTTTATATGAGAACCTACTGTATTTTAAAAATACTCTGATATTTGGGCTTCAATGATTTGAGATATAAAATAAAGCATCTGGACCTATTTCTACCAAAGCAACAGATTAGTTAATTTGGTGGAATCAAGGCAAACCTAGTTATTCCAAGGATTTTATAAGACTTTGAATAATTTTATGAACTTTGACCCTTGGCTGTATTTCTATTTAAATAGAAATATTTGAAAGAATGCAAATTCAGTAGTCTACATTAAGTACAAATTAATTTACAGTAGTGTTCAACAAATGTCACACATAAACTATTTTATTTTCTAATTTGTGTTAATATTTATGTATCTAAATGTTGTACTCTCTGAAACTAAAATGCTCTTTTTGGATATTAAAAGTTTTTCGTAGCACACATGCATGAAAAATCTGTATATACGTTTTGATGTTTCTTTGTGAATGTTATATGTATATGTGTGCATGTGTGAGTTTCAAATTTCAAGCACATATGTGATTTTCAAATTTCAAGCATTGTTGGTTTCCCTATTTATTTTAATTCAATTTTTAGTTTTTTAAAATTTCAATTCCACCACTCTATTGCTTTTTCATTGACTTTGAGAATGACCTTATTGATTTTTGTGGGGAATATTTCTGTCTCTCAGATTGGTTTCAACAAGTATATTTAAAACCGTAATTTATTTTTAATATTATATATGTCTACCATTATTCATTACTACTCTAGAAATTTCATTTGCTATTTCTTAGAGGATCTTGTGTACATGTTCTTTTGAAGAGTGTACATGAAATGGACATCTCAAGAATCTACGCTGCCTGAACAGTGTGTTTACAGTGTGTATTCTTGGACTTCCATTATCTAAGGCTTTTTGCCAGAATGTGGCTGTAGCATCCAATTTGGAGAACCACTTCACGCCTGCCGTTTCTCCCATTATTTCTGTTTAAGTTGGCAGATGAGAATATTCTCTTTGGATATTTTCATTCAGCAACTTTGGATGCACGCAGATCTCAAATTACCATCTGTTTTATCAACTATTACCACTGAGTGAATCCCAGCAGCCGTCCTTTGCACCCGACACATAATGCCATTTTCCTATCACTCAGCTAAACTTATACTTGAGTCTGGTCAAGTTTTCAATAATACTGATATTATTCTAATTGCATGTATCAGTGACCTCATATTGACTCTGAAGAGTAATAAATTGGAAATAATCCAATGTCTTCAACTCAGCAACAGATAGTACAGAGTGTATTGGACATATATACTACATTTCAGAGTATAAAGTATACCACATTAGTCATATCCCAAACAATAGTCTAACCCTTGTCAAAAAGACAAATAAATAATAAGAAATATTGAATAAAAAGGAATATAATAAACAGTAAGGAGTTTACTGATATAGATTAATAAATGTTAATGCTGAACACAATTTTTATGATACCAGCATCCAATAGTTACATTGGTCGATGAGTAATTATTTGAAACTAAAGAGCCATGAAGTGATTATCAATCTAAGCAACATTATGTGCAAAAATTTAT